TCAAGGAATTGAAATTAAGGCCTACCAGATTTCAAATTATGTAGCAAACTCTATTTAAAGCTAAGGGGTATCACAGGTTATGAAGGAATATGAAGTCAAGAGGAACAACAGGGCATATAAATGAAGATACTCAAGAATAACAGTTTTGTCTGGGAATTACTGCTATGGACTTGAAGAGAGGTAGAAGATTGGTTGTCCAAGAAACACAGCACAGGTGATTCTTTATTTTAATTGATAGGCTTGGGTTCAGTAGGATTTTGTTCAATGCAAAGGGATCTTTTCATGATACATCTAATATAAATTGCATGCATGCTCAATTATATATAGGCTATAAGATGGTAAATAGGACATAGTTTGTCTCATTATACATGCACCAAAACCAGTCTAGGCTGGATTAGACCTTCCCTTTTAATATCAGGACATGTTCTGGGATATGTATCACTAAAGAATTGCTAGGAGAGCGACTTATTTTCATTGTTTGAAATACATATGTCTGAAGCCTGATACACTTGAGGGTTCTAAGTTGCCAATTGGTTTAAAGGTGCATTGTTGATAGAGGGGATTGTTTTCATAGCATGTGCAGGTGAGGCTAAGCTGCCAGTGTATTCTTAGAAGAGGGGTGGGTGTAAAATCCAAGCCAAGTGGAGTCCCTATGCCTGATACTGCACATTCTCCTGTCGTAGTAGTAAAACAAAACAAAACAAAACACAACAACAACAACAAAAACAGGAAATCATACCCAAAGACCATTTTTGTACTAGTATCAATTCACTTATGAGAACTGATAAAGTCTTCATGACCTAAACATTACCCACTAATCTCCACTTTCCAACATCACTGGACTGGAGTCATTTATTACACAAACATCCAAGGGGACAGCACCATTTATCTTCAGCTCTTATTTCTTTATAGCTGAGATTTCCACCCTTCTTTGCTCCTTTCCTTTTTGTTAGGTCACTGCCCAGATTATTGATATTGGTTATAAATCTAACAGGATCAATAATCGTTTAGGAGGTAATACTTTAGGCACGTTTGGAGGGAGCTTTTTATTTTGTAAATCAGTTGAAATGTGGCAGATCTCCACCGGCAAAGGCTGTGGACGGAATATGAGAAGAGAAAAGGAGCTCTCTTACAGCACATATCGTTCCCCACTTCCTGCTGCAGCTAGGCTGTGATCAGCCAGCTCACCCTCCTCTGCAGTTAAACTGTGAGCAAACCCATACCTTCCTTTTTCTCAGTTGTTTGTGCTAGGTATGTTGTCATAGCAATCAGAAAGGTAACCAACACCACAGGGATCCTTCCCTGCGGCTCATAACTACTCTCTTAATTCTTTGTCTTTGCTTTGTTCTAGGGCATGTTCCTTCTGTTCTCAAAAACTTCCCTGAGCTTATTTCACCCTAGAACTGGAAGTGACTTTTTCTTACTTCTGCCAATTAACAGAATGTACTCTTATCATCCACTTCTGGAAATTCTTATTTCCAATGATTAAACTCTGTAATACGCTCACATTTACTCAGAAAAAAAGCAAAGAAAGGACTGCACCCTTCATGAGGACACTGGTCTTGGCAATTGCATTCTGAGCTGGATTTCAAACTCAGCCTGCTTTTTATTGAGAGTTTGATTTCTCTGAGGTTGACACACCTTTTATGAGCAAGGCTTTGTCCTTAAATATTACACCCAAAGCATAAATATTTCATGAAATGTATTTAATCCACCCTGATCTCCAGACCCAGCTATTTTTTGACATCCTGAGCAAAGTTTCCCTTCCCTCCTTTTCTCCCAACCCTTTCCCCACTCTCATACACTCCTCCCCCATTTCTCTTCAGATAAGGACAGGCCTCCCATGGATATCAGCCAGGGCATATAAAGTCACAGTGAGACAAGGCACCTCTTGTGTTATTAAGGCTGAGTGAGGCAACCTGGTAGAAGGAAAGGGTCTGGAAAGCAGGCAACAGAGTCAGAGACAGCCCCTGCTTTCACTGTTAGGAGTCCCAAGAGAAGACTAAGCTACATAACTTCAGCATAGATGCAGAGGGTCTAAGTTAGTCCCATGAAGACTCCCTGGTCATTGGTTCAGTCTATGAGCCTGGGTTAGCTAATTTTGTGGGTTTTCTCGAGGTGTCCTTGACCCCTTTGGCTCTTACAACCCTTCCTCTTCCTCCACAGGATTCCCTGGGTTTTGTCTAATGTTTGGATGTGGGTCTCTGCATCAGATATTTCCATCAGTTGCTGGGTAAAGTCTCTCATATGACCATTGGACTAGGCACAAATCTATTAGTACAGCAGAATATCATTAGGAATCCCTTCGTTGATGTTTTTCCCCCAATCTTGTTTAGTTCTTTCCTAGGTCTCTGGGCTTTCTCACCTTTGTGTTCTGGCCCTGCAATCAGTGCCAAGGGTGAACTCCTTCTTAAGGAATGGGTCTCAAGCTGGACCAGTTATTGGTTGACCACTCCCACAATTTCTGCTTCGCCTTTACCCCAACGTATCTTATAGGCAGGAAAAATTGTAGGTTGAAGGTTTTTGCCTGGGTTGGTATCTCAATCCTTCTACTGGAAGTCTTGCCTGGTTACAGGAGAAAGCCAGTTCAGGCTTCCTATCCTCCATTGCTAAATGTCTTAGCTAGGGTCACCCTTATAGTTTTTTTTTTTTTTGATTTTTCGAGACACAGTTTCTCCGTAGCTTTTGGTTCCTGTCCTGGAACTAGCTGGAACTAGACCAGGCTGGCCTCGAACTCACAGAGATCCTCCTGCCTCTGCCTCCCGAGTGCTGGGATTAAAGGCATGCGCCACCACCGCCCAGCTTCCCTTATAGATTATTGTGAGTTTCCACTGCACTAGGTGTCTTTGTTAGGGTGTCTATTGTCGTGAAGAGACACCATGGCCATGGAAACCCTTTTAAAGAAAAATATTTAATTGGGGTGGCTTACAGTTTCAGAGGTTTAGTCCATTATCCTCATGACTCAACATGGCAGCAGGGTGCTAGGGAGGGAGCTGAGGTTTAGACATCTTGATCAAAAGGCAACAGGAAGTGAATTGTGTGTTACATTGAGTATAACTTGAGCAAAGGAGACCTCAAGGTCATTCCCAAAACGACTTGCTTCCTAGTACAAGGCCACTCGCACTCTAACAAAGCTATACTTCCTAATAGTGTCACTACTTTTGGGAGTCATTTTCTTTAAAACCACCAGAGATGTCTCCCAACTCCAGTTGTCCCTTCTATCCTCCCCCGACCTGGACAAATGCCCAATGGATGCTGCCCTATACCACAAGCACATTTGCACAACAGCTTTATTTATAATAGCCAGATACTGAAATAACCAAGATGTCCCTCAACCAAAGAATGGTACAGTTACATAAGAGAGTGTTACCCAGCTGTTAAAAACAATGACATCATGACATTTTTGGCAAATGGATGGAACTAGAAAAGATCATTCTGAGTAAGGTAACCTCGACACAGAAAGACAAACATGGTATGTAGTCACTTTTAAGTAGATATTAATCATAAAGCAAAGGATAGCCATTCTATAATCTACAGACCCAGAGAAACCTAGTATCAAGGAAAGCTCAAGGGCAGAAAACACGAATTTCACTGTGGATGGTAAATAGAATAGACATCCTATTGTGGATGGGGAGTGGGGAGAGGAACGAACAGGAATGATCAAGTTTTTAAAGCAATAACAAATGGAAGAAATTGCAGAAATACTTGATTCAGAGTAAAAGGCTTTCCTTCTTTTCAACATATAAGCATTATAAAATCAAATTATCTAATTAAAATATAAAAAATGTAGAAAGGATAAAATTAAAATCATTATTTCCTGGAGCAAAGAACTGACTTTTATCTGTTACACATATGATCTTTATCTGTAGTTGGAACTAGATCTTATCTCTATAAACATCAGAGGTCCTCAAGTCTCCACAGTGAAAAATTCATGAAGTTTCATAATTGAAGCAGGATAGAGTGGTTGCTTCTCATTTCTCAGCCTTGATGACCTTGAAGAAGAAAGTGATGATGTCAGATTGGTTTTGATGGAGCTGGCCACACTCTCCCCCTTTACTCACACCATCTTGTCTCTATGAGCTATCCCTTATTTCTCACATTGCCAGCTTCTTTAAATAATTTTTCTGCCCCTGCAGTCAGATTTTGATCTTTGCTTGAGACTGCAACGTGAGCTCTTTCCTCCTACCCAGTATGAGTGAAGGTGGAAAAGCATGTGGTGTCATGGGGCATCGGAAGAGAAGGAGGAGCAACACCTAATGACAAGGGTTGCATGGGGTGATCTCACTGGGAAGGAGGGCAGGAAGACTGTGCAAAATGCATGCCTGGTGCCGCAGCTGTGAGGAGGGTTGAGGATGGTGACAATGGTCCTGAGAACTGGGGACTCTAATAACATGACTGTATGACTCAGGACGTCAGCTCCTATAGTTCATTTGTTTCTACTACAATCTTAGACTGGCTTTACTATACAAGGAATCCTGCTGGGATGTGTGCATCAGAGGGACAAGAGCATGGATTCTGGTTTCTTTGTGCTCTAATTTGCTCCAGGTGTCCTTGTAAGAATACATGTGCTGTGAGTTCTGCTGATGAACCTCAGCAATGGACACGATTTCTATGGTGTAGATTAGGATCATTAGTTTCTTCATGTCATTAGTCAATTTGAAAAACCACAGAGCCAGAATGTGATACACATCTCTTAATAAAAGTCACATACTTATTGGATAATCTCTCTGCTTTAATAAATTCAATATTTTTATTAATTAACTTAGCTAGCTAACATAGCTAGTCGTTTTGGAACTGGGCTGGCTTAAAACTCATTGTGGGGACCAGGCTAGCCTCCAACTCACAGAGATCCATCCATCTACCTCAGTCCCCTGAGTGGTGGAATTAAAAGTGAGATTCCCCATGCCCTACCAATAACATAATGGATTTTGAGAATCTTTCTGAATTTCCATCATTTTCTATGATTAAAATGATCATAATTTAAAGGACAGAAAGGGACATTTGCATATATTAACTGAAAACTTTCTTTCTTTTACTTGTTAAATTTTCTATGCAATACCTGCAGTGGTTTTACTATAATATTAAAAACATGATTCCTGGGAAGGAGGATGTTCCCCTAGAGCACATACCTTCATGTTACTGTGCCTCATAGATCTCAGGTGCACTTTACCCTCATCTGTTAATTCAAAGCACATGAGTCTAAGTTTATTTCCTGGATTACAGTTAACACTGGTCAGTCGTCCATAGACCATCACTTCCATCATCCCTGTGTTATCTTGGATTTCATAGCAAATGTAGTCCTTTGTCTCATTTTTCTGCAAAAGAAAGTAATACTCATCTTCTGAGAAATGGCCAGACACTGTCATGTCATGAGAAGTAAAGGGGGTCAGCAGAATCTTGGCTCGGGCAGGAAAAATGGAGCTGTCAGTTTAGACCTGGGGGGCAAAACAGCTTCAGATATTTTGCATTGCCAATCCTGATATGTAAACCTTTTTTAAGGTTTAATATTGACTGTGGTGGCTTATCTTGGCTCTCAACATGACTATATCTGGAGTCAACAAAAACTCAAACAGTTGGATACATAAGTAGGAGATTATTCTTGATTGGATCATTTGAGGTGGCAAGGCTGATCCTAAATTCAGATCACTTGAGGTCAGAAGACCCAGTTTTAAATCTGGGCCACCCCTGATGGAAGCATAAAGAAAAGGACCCAGAAGAAAGAAGCTTTAGCCTTTGACCTGCTTAACACCACTCTCACGGGCAACTTCAACAATTCTGCTGCTGAGACATTCCTTTGCTGTTACTATTCCTAACAGGTAGAAAGAAAGAACCCAGCTTTTTCAAACTGGTGCATTCTGGGCAGAAGAGTATACTTTGGTTTGTATTCTGGTTGTTATACACTACACTCTATCTTCGGTGGTCAATTCTCCTTCACCATCAAATTCTCAATAAATTGGGGGTGAGGAACTCAATGAAACAAAATCTTAATGATACAAGTGTTAATGTAAATGCCCATGCATAGTAAAAATAGATGGTATTACTTGAAAAATGTCAGAGTCTCTTAGTGAATCTCTTTCTAAAACAGTTTTCTTCATGGTACCGTGAGAAGTATATTGAGACTGCTTTTCACACTTAAAGACAGGAAACCCTAATCCCCAACACTGATCAAGGAGGCCTTTAGTTTTGGCATGCAGTAAGTTAACCATTATCATCTTGCAAGGTAAGACTGAAAATCTGAGATTGCATGAGACATTTTACAGAATAATGTGGTGGCTTACCTTATTTACCATAAACACTCCATTCACAAATATTCCTCTTCTTTTTGAGCAAAGATAATTGATTTTAGGTGTTGCGTTGGCTCTTTGTCTCAGGGTAGTTGGGATATTCATTGATTGGTTATCATTTACTTCTGACACACTGGTGGCACTGTATATATTTATGAACCCATTGCGACCAATGTAATTTGAGATGGTAATGACCTTGTTGGGGATGAACTTCTTTCTCAGGACAATATCAAAGACCTTCACTCTGAAGAATTCAGTCTCAGTAGCCACTGTGGCATGGAACATCCTTTTCTCTCCTCTCAGGTCATATGTGAATGGTTCTGTTGCTTTTAACACCATCACTTTTTTGGGACCTCGGTGGTGACCATTTTCCTCAGAAGGTTGCTCAGGTACAGTCTTCCGTCTTGGTTTCTGTATAGAATGTATACAGCAAAAAAAAAAAAAAGGCACAATTAAGTCAGCTAATTGGGTAGAATGAAAGAAAAATCTAAACAACAGCTGGCATGGTATAACTTAGTTCATGGAGATAGAGGTAATAATAGCAGCTTGTACTAATCAAATGTAGTAGAGAAGGGGATTTTATGCGCATCTCTCTAGTCTTGGCAAATGATGCTAAGGTACCCTTAGTAGTAACTTATACAATATGATAGCAGCAGCTGAGTGTAGAAGGAACAGCAGGTTGTGTTCCTGCCGCCCAGCTCCTGGCTGCCTGGCTAGCTTATGCTCTGAAATAATTACACGGAAACTGTATTCTTTTGCCTAATTGTAACTAATGCCTGGCCCATTAGTTTCAGCCTCTTATTGGCTAATTCTCACATCTTGCTTACCCCATTTCTAAAAATTTGTATAGCACCCCGAGGTGGTGGCTTACCGGAAAAGATTCAGCATGTCTGACCTGGCGGCTGGCTCCATCGTGTCTGACCTGGAGAGGAGAGGCATAGCGTCTGGCTCACTTCCCTTCTTCCCAGCATTCTATTCTGTCTACTCCACCCACCTATGGGCTGGCCTATCAAATGGGCCAAGGCAGTTTCTTTATTAACCAATGAAATCAACACAAACAGAAGACCCTCCCACATCATTTCCCCTTTTTCTGTTTAAACAAAAAAAGGAAGGCTTTAACATTAACATAGCAAAATTACATATAACAAAACAGTTATCAAAGTAAGAATTACAGTTACAATATTTATATCTATTTTATCTTTTATCATAACAAAGGAAAACAACTATAACTATCTATCTATTCTTCAGCTCCATCAAAGACTCCAGAAGGATATAATATTACCTAAGTAAATGAGAAGTAAGCAACTTATAAAACTCTAGAAATCACAGAGATATCTCGCTACCTGGACAGTCAGTCAAAGTTCCTCTGTACCATTGGGGCATCCATCTTCAGCCTACACGCTCATAGTTTCCAGCAGACATTTCCATGAAGCAGGAAATTTCAAAGGCACTTCAGTCACTATCTGCTGTGTCCTGCAGAATGTCTCCCAGACTCTTGCATGAATCAGGAGCCCCGAAAGATCATTTCACCTTTAGGCAAATTCAGCAGTCCTCTATCTGTGGGTTCTCTGTGTCCAGTTTATGCAATAGTCCAGGCAAAAGCAGTTTCTTGCCCAAATGGCTATCAAACTCCAGAAGGAGCCTCTTCGATGCCCGTGTTCCTCTTGAAGTAGATTGTCATGAAAAGCCCTAAGTTATTAAAACTTTAAATTCCATATTCTGTAGTCTTTGAAAGATATGAAGAATGCCTATCTGAAATATATCTATGCACATCTAGAAAATCGAACTAACATGACTACAAGCTTGACTATTATAGATGATTATCCATTAACAAACTATACACATTACATTCTTAAATGAACTACACAATCACAATATCTTTATAAAGATCAGAAATACATATACATATAACAAAATTGACCTTAACTTTATACCAATGCAAATTATTGATATCTATATCATATCCCTCTTTGAATGTAAAATAACATTGATAAACAATATTTGGGAATATGGGCACAGTTTTTTCTCTCCATACTGCTTCCTGTGGTATGGGGGCACTGTTAATCAGGTCTTTTATGGTGTAACCTGTGTGCCAGGTTCATCTCAGTCAGTAGTTGAGTGAAGTAATTTTTGAGGGTGTTCACAGCAACCTTTCAGGAGGGTGTGGTCTATCATACCATATTGGGATAGAAGCAATTCACAGGGTCTCATTCTCTGTGAAAACAAAAGAAGGACTTTTCCAAAGCATCATGTCCTTAGATCCAAATTTTGAAGTCAGGGTATTTTCAAAATATCTATCTTGGATTAGTTCAGCAGCATTTATAAACAAACATCTTTTAGCAGCTGTTGCTCCTTTCTCAGCATTTAAACAATTCAAAGAGAGCATAATAGCATACAGTATCAAGATTCTCTGTGCATTTTCCATCTTTGTGTGGCTTTATTTTAATCTCTATTTCATTTATTTTTACTTTTTGAGATAGGTTCTTTGTATATCTTTGTCCTGGAATGACTCTGTAGACCAGGCTGTCTTTGAACTCACAGAGATCCGACCTTCTCTGCCTCCTCAATGCTAGGATTAAAGGTGTATGCTACCACACCTTGAACTCACAGAGATCTGTCTGTCTCTGCCTCCCAGGCATTGGGATTAAAGGTGTATCCTTCCACACCTTGAAGTCACAGAGGTCAATCTACCTCTGCCTCCCAAGTGTTGGGATTGAAGGTGTATACCACCACATTCAACAACTCCCTTTTTTTCTTTTTTACTTTTAAGATTTTTAACCTTTAGCCTGCATATATTTTTAGCACACTGTAAAACATTTAGATGTTTTCTTCAACTTTGAATCTTTCTTTTACTGTATATGTCTCTTTTGTGACCACATAAGTCTTTAATTTACCAAAAAATATCAGTAGGACTATAGTCTTGGCTTTGGCAGCTGGATGAAGTGCCCCAATGGGCTGGTATCTCAGCAGCTATTGGCTGAAGGAACAGAAGGAGCTCCCACAACAGCTGAGGAAAAGTGCACAGGACTTAAGGAGCAACTATCATACACTTCCTTTAGAAATGAAGGAAGTTTAGTTACAGGTGTCTTCAGTATTATCTGCAGGTCCAGAAAAGACTAGAAACAGTCTAAAAATCATACCCACAAGGGATTATCTTTATAAACTATTCATGGATTGTTTCAGATATTAAAATCATTTACATCGATATTTGGTGCTTGATTGTCAGTTCAACATATATTAAATATTATTTTAAATATTTTAAAAACTGTTTTCTTCCCATGTGTATGAATGTAAGAATGTTTGCATGTGTGTGAGCCGAGGAGAGTGGAGGACATCCTATGGTGGCAGTCTTTGCTTTACACCTGTATGAGACAGGTTTTTTTCCCTGTTCACTGCTGATTTTACTTGTTAGTTTTTGTTGACTTGACACAAAGTGGAATTACCAGAAAGAGGGAAATGAGAAATTTTCTACATTAGATTGGCTCTAGAGCCTGTCTGTAGGACAAATTTTTTGTTGTTGTTGGAATTATTAATGATTGATTGGGGAAGGTGCCTTGTGAGTGGTGCCACTTCAGGCAGATGTTCCTATATTATATGAGAAAACAAGCCTAGTAAGTCAGGAAGAACAAGTTAGTAAGCAGTGTTCTTTCATGGTCTCTTCTTAATTCCTTCCTTCAGTTTCCTACCTTGAATTCCTGACTTGGCTTCCCTTAATGGTGGAAGCTTAAGCCAAAATACTCCCTTTCCTTCTCAAGTTCCTTTTGTTCGGAATGTTTCACCACAGCAACAGAAAGAGGGTTAGAATAGGGATGAATGATCTAGTTGAAAGTTGTAGCAAGCTCCATCGTTACATTGTGAAAACAGAAAATTACCTTGGCTGGTATTGCTAGAGACACTCCAGGGGCCTGGGTACTGCTGGATGCTGAGGTTAGAGGCACTTGGAAAGTTTGGACACTGCAAGATGATGTTTCTGGAGACACTTGAGTGGCTTGGTCCCTCTTCGAAGCAGTTGCTGGAGCTAGCCGGGGAGCCTGGACAATATGGGAGGAATGGATGTCACCAGAGGGCTCAGGAGGCTGCTAGAGGCTATTGCTGCAGACACCTAAGGAGTCTGTCAGACATGTGAGATGGTTTGGGAGGCCCCTGAGGCATTTGCAACTGTTCAGTATTTGTGGAAGAATCCATATTAAGTCTTTTAACTGACCTCTAGCAACTCTAGTTATATTAAACTACTGATTTATTCTGTTGAGATCAAAATCATTTCAAATGGTATACCCTCTCAAGAAAAACGATTTATTTTAACTGAGGCTTAGACATAAGCATTTGATAATATGGTGAGTGTTTAATCATATGACGGATCTGTCGCCTTCATATTTTGTGGGTTTGTTTCCCCTTCTCTCAGTGATCAACTTCTTTTTCTCTTGATAACCATTTATTTTCTCTTTCCCTTTTTCTGTTGGAAACCACACCCTGAGTCTTGTGCATGCTAAGCTGTTCTCTCCTTTCCTATTGATCTTTATTCTGAATCCACAGTCATGGATTTCAATGTTAAATGAAGCACAGTAACTTTAACACCAAAAGAATCAACATATCATCCTTGAGAACAACATCTTCTGGACAGCGAATCAGGTTGAATTGCCTCAATACAGAAACAAACATTTCATTTACATCACTTTTCTGTGCATCTCTTTGGTGTCAGAAGAGCAGGACTACACTTAGAAAGCCTGAGTTGAGGTTTGACATTATTTCAGTGGCTTTGAAATGCTATGTCCTTTGACTGACTACTATTTTGGTAATGGTTGAAAGAAGAACAATGATTTAACCTGCTTTATATTTCTTTACTGTGCCTGCTTGGGTGGATGTACCACTGAGGCCATGCGGAGGTCAGAAAACGTTTCATTGGGGTTAGTTCTCTTGCTCTAACATGTGGGGTCTGGGAATTTAACACAAGTCATCAGTAAGACAGTAAGCACCTTTACCTGCTGGGCCATCTCGCTTGCCTGAAAAATGACTTTTTATTCCCATCACAGAGAATTGCATGATATGAGTTAAAGAATGCAGTAGTCCTGACCAGTAAGCCTCAAACTGGTTACTCAAAACCTCCATTTTTACTAGATCCTATGATGAAATAGACAAATAAAATATCCACACAATGGTAAAAAGGGGAGAAACCTTGGCAGATTTTCCTTTGGAAACGTAGCCAACATACCTGTGAGTTCCGTGTACTCCTGCCTGATCCTGGTTTTGAATCTTTATGTATGGTGGGCATAGGTTGAGAAGTACTAGGTTCATCTCGCCTGTGTCTTTTTGCCTCAGTTATGCTTTTCTCTGACTGTTTCCTTTTAGCTGAAGCAGGAGAGAAAACGCAGTAAACTCAGAGATGCTGGTCTGAGACAGCTGGCGTTCATGCAGTACTGTTTGCTCTCAGCTCCTGCTTAGCTCACTATGCTTGTCTACCTCTGCTTTGGAAGCTTGAAGGGGCCCCAAGGTGGCCCCCACAGGACTATCTCAGGTACGGTTCTTTCTAGGTGTGATGGACACAGTCTTTCCATCCTGGGGACTCCTAAATCCTTCAGTCACGTCCTACCCCCACCCTCTTATCCTACAGTCCAGTTTTTACTAATTTAAAGTTTAGGTCAGGGGAGATGGTTCATTGGGAAAGCCCTTGCCCTGCAAGCATGGAGACCCGAATTCAGCTGTCTGGTAGCAACTTAGAATCCCAGGCTGGGCAGACTGATGTAGACATATTCTAGTTTGCCATTTAGCTGAAAATGAGAGCCTCATGTTCAGTAAGAGACCCTTCCTTAATAACAGGAGAGAGAGCGATAGTTCAAGACACAGTGTTGACCTCTGGCCTCTAAATGCTTGTGTAATGATAATCACTGACAAACCATCTTCTGTAGGCGATCACTCTGGTTTAGAGAACCATTGAAATAAATGATCTGATTTGCGGCATGACAAAATGTTTATATTTGCTTTGACTTCCTAAATTTTGTTTCTGTTTGGTTTTATCTATTAATTTGTTAATTGTTTGTTTGTGTGTTGTTTTGATACAGAGTCTAGCTACACAGACCAGACTGGTCTTAAACTCACTATCTTCCTGTTTCAGTCTCCTGAACACTAGGATCATAAATGGGAGTCTCTATGCAAAAATTAGTCATTTCTTTTTCTTTCTTTTTTTCTTTTAAGCCTGATGACTTTATAAAATAGAATTACTTCCTATCTCTGGGAGGTAGACATTCACTTAATTATTGAGTATGTTTTTATTTGTTTGTTTTGTTTATTTTCTTTTTTGAATAGATAATGTTGAGTATCTTAGTGGAGCATCAGTACTAATTGATTTAAATATTTTTTAAAAATATTCCTATCTTTATTTTATAGTTTTCTCATCTTTACACAGTAGAAGAAGGTCTTGTCTCTTTCAACAATTTCTGCATTTTTATTTGCCCTAATGACCTCAAAGATATTCCACCCCCAAACAGAATTCTTTTTCAGAAGGAAGTTTTATAAGTTATTAATATGCTTGTCATGTGAAATGTTGTCATTCTATAGACCCCGAGTCACACACTGTGAAAGGCCATGTCAGTTATGATCACTACACAGAGCTAGCATGCTGTTGGAGAAGTTGAAGAAAAGATGGGCATCCAGGGTGCTCCCATATTACCTTTTGCCTTCTCTCTTTTGAGTTCATCAGCAAGGTCTTCAAGTTCTGGAATCTCTTTATACAGTTCTATCAGTGTGTCTATTCCAGCATCTTTTGGAAACTTGTCCTCCATCAAGTCAGCGATCTTAATTCTGTCATAACCATATTGTGCTTTTCTATTTAGTTTTAGTTCTTTGCTCAACAAGGACTTAACTATTTTAAAATTATGGTCACTGATACCCTTTAGTCCTGACAAAAGAACAATTTTCTTGTAGTCATTCACCATTTCTCAAACTGCGGGTGAACCTAAATGAGAAGAAGAGTATATAGAATTACATACATTCACAGACAGTTTCAAAACCAAGATACTCCTGTATGAGGGAATGACCAGTGCCAGTGGCCATTGTTGCATTGATGAGAAATATAGTTAATGTCCGGATGTGCCACTTTGCAAAATGAGTGTAGACCTAATCTGATAAAAATAAGTCTAGAAAATTCTTCCCTGTTAACAACAGTTTCTGACCCAGGTCTGCCATGTTTTTTGATGGATGAAAGTGGAAATAAAAAATTGCCACAGCATTTAGAGTATGGGTTATGAGTGTTGTCTTAGGGTTTCTGTTGTTGTGAAGAGACACTATGATCATGGCAACTCTTATAAAGGAATCCATTTAATTGGGGCTTGCTTAAAGTTTCAGAGGTTCATCCATCATCATGGTGAGGAGCATGGTAGCATTCAGGGAGGCATAGTGCTAGAGAAACAGCTGAAAGTTCTACATCTTGATCCACAGACATCAGGAAAACACAGCCACTGTACCTGGCTTGTTTGGTCTTTTGAAACCTCAAAGCCTTCCCCCAGTGACATACTTTTCACAACAAGGCCCCACATCTCTTCCAACAAGGCCACACCTTCTAATCCTGGTGACCAGACTTCTAAATCTATGAGCCTATGGGAACTATTCTCATTTACACCACCACAAGTGCTGAAATTCTAAATCTTCTTTCTAATATTTACTGATGTTGTAGCCTATCTCTGGCTATCTGCCAGGGGGTTCCTGACTCTTCTCACACTCTTGGCTGAAGTGCCTTATGTACAAAGGGGCTGCATCTTCTTACTGTATGCATGAATATTGATCGGCTACAACACAATGGCCCTTGCTGGGGGCACTGACACTTGCCCACCTGGCTCTAAACATCTCTCACAGACATTCTGCTTCCCATGGTGTTGAATGCTGGTCTCAAGGTCCTCTGTGCCCATATGACTGTTACTGTGCTGAACATATACATACTTTCTAGAGTCAGGTCACAGAATTTATTGGATAAGATTATGTCAATGGTTGTTTGTTTCTCTTCTCTTATGTTTTGATATCAAGTGTCAGATTTATTTGTTCATTGAGTCTGTTTTCTGCTTATAAGCCATGATTATGTTCAGTTTAAATCTTCCAAATTATTAAAATTTTCAAATTATTAAATAACAACAACAAAAAAGTTCCTTAAAATACCTTGGGAGGCCTTGAATGATTGTCTTTGTATTCGTTTCTTTATACCTAGTATGGGATGCTGTAGGGTTATGATCTTCTGTCACTTTTCCTGCTTTGGGATGTAGATAATTAGAGTTCATTGTCATTCTCACATCTCTTCCTGTCTGCCTCCCCCCGGTAACTTTTAAGAAGAAAAAAGAAAAGAGAGACTTCTCTTCTGGTAACTTCCAAAATGCCTGAAAAAAACAGTCTCCTGAGTTTGGACCTGATTAGCCATTTGTATATTTCCTTGGTGACTCAGTATATGAATGGATCCAAGTTAGCTTAAATCATTTGGTTAGGAATTATTTGGGTTAGGAAATATGTTTAATTATGGGTTTAATTATGGGTCATTTGTGTTAAGAATTATGTTTTGTATATCTTTTGTATAATGGGAATGTTACATTTCCAGGTCTATTCACTGCATTCCTTTTGAGAAGAGTTAAGCACCATCTAGTTGAAAAGGCCAATACAGTGAAGGAAAATCCATCTAGTGACATGACAGTTAAGATGATTAAAGATATCAGAGAAAGTGAGCACTCTGTAAACCCTCAGACCTGAAGACTACTGTTTTAGGGATTCTATTGCTGTGATCTAACAATGACCAAAAACAATCCCGTGAGGAAGGGGTTATAGCCTCCAGATTCTTACCTTAAAATCCTGCCTTAATTTCACTTAATGATAGAGGGTGGTGTGGAAGTTAAGCTAAAGTAAGCTCTTTCCTCCTTAGCTCATAGAAGAGTGCTGCTTACTGGCTTATTCTTCATAGCTTGTTCAGCCTGCTTTGTTATAGCACCCAGGACTACCACCCCAAAGATGGCACTGTTGAGAGTGAATTGGTCCCTCCACATCAATCACCAATTAAGAAAATACTCTACAGTCATACCCAAGGGCCAGTCCGGTAGGGACATTTTCTCAGTTAAGGTCCTGTTTTACAAAAACGACTTTAATTTCTGTCAAGCTGACTTGAAACTAGCCATCACAGCTAGATCACCTGTAAAGATTCAAGGACGAGATTAGAATTCACTATCAACAGCAATTTGCCTTAAGCAATAGTGTATGGACTTTATATACACTGTTCCATTAGGTCATAAACAAAAAGGTTTTAGAAGTGTTAAGTTTTAAGCTGGGTGGTGATGGCACACGCCTTTAATTCCAGCACTCGGGAGGCTGAGGCAGGTGGATCTCTGTGAGTTCAAGGCCAGTCACCTCTACAGAGTAAGTTCCAGGACAGTCAAAGCTACACAGAGAAACACCATCTCAAAAAACAAACAAAACAACAACACCAAAAAACCAAAGAAGTATGAAGTTTTAATTTGTTTAATGATTTGTGAAAAAACACATAGTCTCCAAAAGATAATGATATGTGATACACGAGGAATGAGTACTTTGTATACTTTGTGTGCAATCCACTTACATGTGAACCATAATGCTTTGTTGTTGAACTACTGCCTTGATTTGGTGGTACTGATCCCAATCTCAATGAAGTTTCCAGTAATATAGTATTTAGGAAGCAGGCATTAATATCCGTCTGTAGATATCATACACTGAATGGGAAAATACATCCAAAAAATACAGAAAATACAGTTCTACTGGCATAAGTTGATGCTTTCAACTTGCCATGAATTAAAAACAAGAAAGAAAAAAACTGATGCTAGTATCTTAACCTAGAAAAAATGAAAAATAAGACATTCTCAAAGTATATTGTCTGATACTATAAACCTTAGTAGTTTCAAAAGCCAGAAACATAGAAAAAGATAATAGAATTAATTGCGAGAAAGCAATATGTGAAGTTGAGAGTACCTCAGGGTAAAAACTGAACAGAATCACAGGATTTGCTGGTCTTGCCTCTGCCTCACAAGCGAAACTCTGATCAAAGGGAGGAGAAACAGGAAGGATATATGGCTGGTGGCGGGGTGGGGGGCTGAGGCAAAGGATGTAATGGTTCACTAATGGTTTTATCTTAATCTGTAAAGCATAACTTCTAAAGAAAAGGTAAGGCAGAGAATACAGACATGTCAGAAATTAAATAACTATAGCAAGAGCAAGGAAAAGAAAAACAAAGAAGGTATTGACTATCATCCTGAATATAAATGCCATAGTCAGTTAAGTAAAAGCTTTTGTTAACTTTTATTTAAGATATGTAGCTATTGTTAAGTCAATGACAATTAAGCTACAATCTGTAGAATGACAAAGGATAGTTATAAAGGACTAGAGCTGTGGTTCTCAATCTTCCTAATGCTGTGACCCTTTAATACAGTTCCTCATGTGGTGACCCACAACCTTAAAGTTGTGCTGCCTCATAACTGTAAACTTGCTACCGTTATGAATTATAATGTAAATATCTGGTATGCAGGATATCTGTGAAAGGGTCTTTTAAACCCCTACAGGGGTCCTAACCCACAGGTTGAGAAACTGGACTACAGTGAAGAGATAGCTCTCCTTAGGAAAGGGCAATAGATTAGATAATTATGGGTGGATGGATGGATGGAGTGGAGAAAGGGGAGGGGAGAAGGAATTGTGCAAAGGAACATGGGGAGAGACACCTAAAATTAGGGGGCCATTTATGCTGCAAAGTGAGCCGCATCCTGCCCACTTCCCAGCTGCCTGGCTAATCCCCAAAATAATTACATGGAAACTGTATTCATTTAAACACTGCCTGGCCCATTATATTTAGCCTCTTCTTGGCTAATTCTCACATCTTAATTAACCCATTTCTAATAATCTGTATATCACCACGTGACTGTGGCTTACAGGGATGAGTCTAACCACGTCCATCTCAGAGACGAAAGCCATTGGCTAAATAAAGAGACTGCCTTGGCCTTTTGATAGGACAGCGGCTTAGATAGGTGGAGTAGAAATAAGTGATTTATCTAATATTAATACAATAGACCAGAATTTCATGGTGCATTTAGCAATATATTTCTCAACTGCGAAATGTAAAAAAAAAAAAAAAGGAAAGCTTTGTGCAGTGATTTAGAAAGCTTAGCAACATAATTGACAAACTTAGCAGGACGCCCAATATTCTTATAATTTTGAAATCAACATTTAAGAGCTTCTATTCAAGTACACATGAAGTACTCTGCCATGGTATATAGATTCTTCAAAAATATTCTGTAAGTCACCCCCTTACATCCTACCATCAGAAAGTGAAAAGAAAAACAAAACAGCCAAACCAAGTATCTCAAGTTGACACAAACTAACAGCGACTGAAATACCATCTTTATCGTACAGAAGAGAATCTAGAATGTGCTTATGAGATTGTTAAAACAGTCTGTGTTTACATATCATGAATCTGACCATCTTTCCACTGCACATGCCTGTTGGTTGTCACGCCATATAGGGCTGAGATACTAGAAAATTCCATTCCATGTCCCGATGTGTTTTTCACTCATGGTAATTTTTCTTGTCACTATCTTGACTTTGCCCCAGTCAGTCACCACTGTCAGCAGCTAACCATGGACTCCTGATCCAAGGTAACTAACACCTCCCTCTTGCCACTTGCTCAGGCTTACACTTAGGAAGTTTATTAAATGATCTGAAATATGCAAAATGAATTTTTCTTGGCTCATTCCTCTGTAGTGGAGGAATAAATACATCTGCCATCTTCCTGAGCAAACCCTCCAAACCCAGCTACCCTAGGTTCATTGCTGACTGGAGCTACCTCCCCTCCCCCAGAAGAACCAGCAAGATTTTCCCCTCTGTTCTTGTGATTTTCACAGAAGTAATGAATGTCTCCAGAAAGCAGGTAGAACTCACGTTCCCGGAA